TGGAGCGACTCCGCAGCGATAATGGAGGTGAATACACATCAGAGTACTACAGGGACTTCTGCAAAACCATCGGAATTTTTCAAGAATTTACGGCACCGGCTACACCACAACAAAATGGCATCAGTANCAACAAAATGGCATCAGTGAACGTGCTGGACGAACGCTCATGAACATCGTTAGATGTTTGATGCACGGAGGAAAACTGCCGGAGTTTTTATTGGGCGAGCTATGTTGCACGACGGTACACATCACGAACCGGCTACCGCATGTGCATCTCAACAATGAGACGCCCTACTACCGGATGTTCGGGAAGCAAGCTTCGCTTCGACATCTGCGGGTCATCGGCTCAACGGCGTTTGTGCACCTGGAGACGTACAAGTCTAAGCTCGCGAATCAATCGTGCTTGGCCGGGGATCCTGATAGAGTATAGCCCCGACAGCCGAGCGTATCGGATTTTCAATCCACACACAAAGCGGATAGTGCACAGCCGGAATGTTACATTCATCGAACCGATGGATGCGGCCATGCCGCCGGTTGTTCCAACACCGGCGGAATTGCGCAACGACACGGAAAACGAATTATCTGTTTCCTCGGATGTCGTATACATACCGGGAAACGAGGGGGAAATGGATAATTCGCAACATGAGGATTTTGAACAAGAACAAGAACAAGAACAAGACCAAGAACAAGACCAAGACCAAGACCAAGACCAAGACCAAGACCAAGACCAAGAACAACAACAACAACAACAACAACAACAACAACAACAACAACAACACGAAACAACCCGCATGAATCTGCGAAGTGCTGGAAGGAGCATGGATCATCAACTCGAGAGAAACAACAAAAGACAACAAGCCGAGTTAAGAAGGTTATCGCCTTGGAACAGACTGGCTAACTTTGTGAATCAAGATCATCAGAATCAAGACCAATACATAAGGATCAAGACGCCATCAGCTGGAGAACCTGTACGGCCGCCAGCATCTATACCTATACCAACTACATATCAAGAAGCCATGAGGTCAATGGACGCTGATCAATGGAAAGCAGCTATGGACAAGGAAATGAGGAGCCTAAAAGATCATGATGTGGCGGATCTAGTCCCAATTCAGAGTCTACCCCCTGGAGCTAAGCCTATTGGATCAAGATGGTTGTACAAGATGAAAGCAACTGGAGTAATGAAGGCAAGACTCACCGTACAAGGCTGGGGACAACGATATGGCATCGACTATGGAGGAACTTATGCACCTGTGAGTCGATTCAGTTCGCAACTAGTATTAATGGCGATTGCAGCGGAGAGAGGATACGTTGTGGAAACCATGGACGTGGTAACTGCATTTCTTCAAAGCAACGTGGAAGAAGAAGTGTACGTTCGTCAAGCCAAAGGATACGAAATAACGGATGAAGTTACGGGACTACCACTGGTGATGAAGCTCAAGAAAAGCTTATACGGACTGAAGCAAAGCCCTCGGAACTTCGGCAACGCATTTGCTAAAGGGATTAAAGAAATCGGGTTTACTGCTCTACTGAGTGACCCGTGCGTATATGTGTACGGAGCTGGACCGACATATGCGATACTATGTGTGTACGTGGACGACTGCACACTAGCCGGAAGGACACCAAGTGTTGTACAAGACTTGAAGAAGCAATTATCGGACAAGTTCAAGATGACCGATGGAGGACCGGCGGAACTACTACTAGGGATGGAGATTTCTCAACGTGACTGAGAAATCACTGTGAGCCAACACAAATATGTGATGAATATTCTGGACAAGTACCAGATGGTGGATTGCAAACCAGCAGCAACTCCAGGGAGCGGACCGGAAATCGAACAAGAGCCGGAGAACGCTATATATTTAAGCGAAGAGGACAAGAAACTCTACCAAGGAATTGTTGGAAGTCTACTCTTCCTGACTAACACAACGAGATGGGGGTGTAGCTCAAATGGTAGAGCAGGATAGCAACTGAACAGGCAGCTGTTGAAGCACGAGTAACGCGCGTACCGTTATACGATTTATGGGGGCGTGTATAATGCAGGAGTACATTAGGATATATATGTACGTAAAACTTACTTGCTGGATTCGTGCAGTAGATTTAGAACAACGATGAGGTTGTTGAAGCATACGTGACATTGCGTCCATCATGGGGGCGTGTTGAAATACAGCGCATTACTGCTGTAGGATGTGTGTAGTAGCATAGATGCAGCTGTATGATTGCTGTACGCAATGGTACATATATTCGATATACTCGTAGCATAGTATGATGGTTGAGATGTTATGTACGTACGTACGAATATTGCAGTGATGAGATGCGGAGGAACAGGAACTTTCTACATATTTTCCTTGGTTGTGAGAGGCTTTTGGTGAGGATTCAGAGAGATTCGTTGTGTGAGAAAGCATGAAGGCGTGACTCGATACCGTGATGGTTTGACGAGCACGAGCACGCCCCCGATTAATACAACACGGCAACACGGCAACACGGAAACAACACGTTTTTCCACACGTCTGCACGACGTTTCCTACCCCTACGGCCCGTAATGGCCGAGCTGCTCTACACTCCTATCACACACAACTGAGCCACCCGAATAATCGATCAACGTAGATGCGGTATAATAAGTGACGTTTGGTAGAACGTAACATGTAGCGACGAGTTATAGCGAGGAGCTCGTTGATGATATGAGAATGAATTGTAGCGAGATCACGAGGTGTTGCGAGCCCCACCAGGCTTACTCCCCAACTATCCCTCAGCATCTCAACTCTGCAAGTAAGCTGAAGAAGAAGAAAGAAAGTACAAGTCCCAGAAGCGGCATTTAGCAACAACATCAGACTTCGGTCTTCGCCTCAACAGACTTCGGTCTGAACAGACTTCGGTCTGCATCACACAGACTCTGTGCTGCACAAAGGCTTAACCGCCTGCAGACGACCATTGGGTACAGGGCACCTCGACACTACACATTTCTACACTCTCTAGCAGTAGTTGCGCAGCGGGATATGCGTCAATCGTGGAGCAAGTAGATCAGAGGCTGTTGTTGTACAATGTCTAGCAAAGCGTCGCGAGCATCCCGTAGTGTGATATCCACGGCTGCTTGCTGCTGTCAGAACCTCGTGTCCCCTGTTCTTCACGGCATAAAACCACAGGAGTCTATCTACACGACAAGATGGATCACAGCTGGTCAAAAACAAACTAAAATGAAGAGCCTCGGAGTAAGTCCACGTAAAGTCAAAGTTGCTACTACTAGTCTACAACCAAAATATGTACTGCCATTGGTATTACTGTACTTTCATGAAGTCTTCACGTTGTGGCGTCAACGCTTTTTTCTGCAAGTTTTGGTGAAGACCCGGGGGTTCAAATCCCGCCACGCACCATTCGTTTCGCATTTCACAATGCTCGATCGGTGGGGGACCGAAAACGAAGACTCTTCCAAAAGTGTGGACCTTCTGAGGACACGGGAGATCGTAGGGCACCCGCCCGTGTCACAGCGAACAGGGGGGTTTCGAAGAAGTGGATCAACTCGCGGCAGCCATCCGGTTCCGGTGGGGCGGGGGGGGAACCCTTCGAAGTGGAGAGGGAGGGTAATAACGTGAACATGGCCTTATACTGGTCAACTCTCCCCAACGTCTCGAGGAGGATTCCTTCTCTACACACATCAGCGCTGACAACTCCAGTATCATTCTCCGCCCGCCTTTCACCGACCGGGTCCGATCTACGTAGGGCCCAGCCATGCGTTCGCACATCAGTTCCGATCGAGAGGAGCCTATGGGGTAGCTTCACTCACCAGCAGATCTTCATGAAGAACTTCATCGTCGGTCGCTACAGGGAGGCGAAGCAAAAGAAAAAGACGTGGAAGAAATCGAACGCGGCGGTGTGCTTGTACGTGTACCCGGGAGGCGTCGTGACGTTGTGCTTGCACCCCAACGACCTGCAGGTTTGTGAACAAACTACAGTAGCGAGAAGCGAGAAGAGCATGTTATAACACTGTGCCGTATGTTTCACGTGCGGCATCTGAGTTTTCGAAAGCACATGATAAAGGATGCGTGCCGTAGGGACTCGTTGTTGGGGTTGAGTTGAGGTTATGCTTCAGACACCGACAATTTGTTTTCGTTAACAATCATCTCACTATGCATGTGTTACTTGACGCAAACAACAACTAACCAATATGGACCCTGGCTACTGTCGGAGACAGAGGCCGGTGCCTTGGCAGTAATATCCCGCTGCCAGGGGAAGGCTATTTCCTCTCGTGATATGTAAACAAGGAGAAGAGGGTAGAAGAGAGAGTGGCCAGAGAGAGCAGAGGCAAAGGAGAGTCGAAGACTCTCCGCTTCTCCTTTCGGCAAGTGGCCATGGACTTCGGAAGAGACAAATCTCCGACGGTGCGTTTCTTGTCACTCTCCCAGTGACAAGATACCTCGATGGAGCTATATCTTCCTACACTTTGCATGTGCACTCATGGTTGGTTATACTCCCGACAGGTGTCCTCCACACCAAAGCCATTTTGACTTCTGCTCCACAAACCATGCACGCGCAGCAAGCGTGGCGCTGGGGGCTAGACAAAGAGGAACCCCTGGTCGCCGTCACAAAAGACGAGTTCTTCGAGAGCTTCCAGCGAGGAGACTGGCGCCACTCTCTCGTCACCCTCCCCGCCACCTCATCCGAGCGGGCACATCTTGTGGTATGTCAAAGTTTCACATAATTTTTCGAGGCCAACGTGACCGCTCCCCCTCCTGCCATCGTTGTTATTGCACGGCCTACTTTCCGCTACAATATCCATAAGGAACTTGAACGATGTGGGGGGGGTGAGATTTCCCCTTATCGATTGGTTGTCGGTGTTCAAGTTGTGCATTACAAACGTGCTGTACAGGCGCCTGCACCCACGCTGTTAGCACCTCAAACGTTGATAGCTATCATGCGCCTTTGCTTACCCTTAAGAAGGAGGGCCTCCTTGAGCTTTTAACGTACACGAAGCATTGCAACACTGCAAAGGGGTTGATACAGGGTGTGCTTTGTGGCCGTTAATAACCTTCGTATATTATTCTTGATGCACATGGAGATGGAGTTCGATATTCATTCCAACTCGACGCCTGGCCCAATCTCATTCAAATAGCCCGCTCTTCCACTTGAGTGTCATCGGAGAGATCCGGCTGCATTTCCCCAGGCCGTTCCTCGACGACGCTTATCCCTGCTCAACACACTCCTCACTGCATTCACGGTGGAGCAACAGAAATATCTTGATTCGTCATTAAACCATCCCGACTATGGGTACAAGCCTGCAGTCGAGATTCCTCATCGTCTGTTTATTAAACCCCGTGATATAAGGCCTTCCAATAAATGAAGAGGCAGCTGCCCCCTGCCAGATGACATCGTGTCTTGATCCTGCAATAAACCCTGCCTTTCGTTGTTGCTGTTTCAAGTGTTGGTGATGATGACGATAGTGGAATCGCTTTGAGCTCTTCCAGTGCCTCATTCTGCGTGCTTTTCTCATAAAAACCTCGACATGCAGAAAACGTCCCGCCGCTCGCGAAAAAAGTGTTCGCATTTGTACAAAACCCGGTAGGTCGAAGGTGTCAGTCGCTACGCGTTTCGTTTTGGCGTGGTTCATCGTTTCGCTTTGTTTTCGCTGAAAAATCGAAATCTCAAGCAAGCAAATTCTACGCGGATCGTACGTTCGTTTTCCCGGACAAAAGCTGCGTGTCGTACAAGAAAACGCCACTTGTGGGCAGACACGAGGTCAACTTTGATTTTGCGTGAGACGAAGGGGTGGTACGCGTCTCGCCACACGATGGCCAACACGCGCCGTTCGTTAGGGACAACGCAGGTACACGAATGTACACCACGCGCATGTCCCGCAAATACTTCGAACCCTCCAAGACATTCGCCGAGCAGACGGCGTGGTGCACGTGCAATTTCACGGCGTGTGTAGAGCTACACTTGACTTACGGCCGGCAACGTGTTACCAACAGCGCCTGTAGTTCAAAACTGTATTGAAGGTAGGGAAGTATAGTCGTTCACGTAAGCTTGCTTGGTCGACATGCAGGCGGCCATCAGGCAGAAGCGCAAGGTCGAGATCGCCATCGTCAACAACCGCACTCTGCGAGACGTGGAGTACTTTAACTCTCTGCATGACGTCCGTCGCCAGGCCATCGCACGACACGAGGTGATCAATGGATCCAGAACTAACGAAAAGGGCAAAAGTCCAGGTATAGGTACTCGTGTGACTTCCCACGAGTGGAGCTCAGATGGATGTCTTGGGCATGTCCCAAGCCCGTCCGCAGCTAAACAGTTTCAATTTCTTCTAAACCGGGGTTTGGTGGGCTGAACTCAGGCATGAATTGGGTCGAGCTTGTATTCGCGCACAAACCCAGCTACGTTGCTACCGTGCGTAGTGGACCAAGACATGTATTGTAGGACAAGCTGGCGGTAAAAGCCCACGCGTTTCTCACACATGTGTTGAACAACTGCGCCACGAGCATCGGCTACGACCTGTGGGCTGTGCTGGACACCATAAAAAATCTTACCTGGCTGCGACTTTTGCTTGTCCACTGACCTCTGTGCTACCCATAGGTGGATTTCTCGGGTTACGTTAAGAAGCCTTCCGCGCCCTGCAACTGCGGCACTTCGTGCGAGGGTTCGATGGATGACGACTCGATCAGCAGCGAGGGCACTAGCGGCGCCAGTGGCGCCAGCCGTTCCAAAGGCGACTGCGGTGCTAGCGACGCCAGCGGGGTCAGCGGCTCCAGCGGGCTCTCCGGCGCCAGCTGCGACAGCGGTGAGGACGGTGATGAATCGTCGTCTGGCGGTACCGCCCCCAGCCCGCGCCCCTCGCTCGGCCCTGTCTCATCCTCGACGGACAACGACGAGGGTAGCGACGACACTTCTAGCAGCGACTTCAGCCTCACGCGCGTCGGTCGAACCACCGCAGAGTGTGCCGTTGGTACTCAAGGACCAACGGCCGACCACGGCGCCCCAGCAACCTCTTCTCTCCGCCGCCGACCATTCCGACGCGTGGCGGCAATGGCGACGCGACCGGAGGCGCGGGGCGGGGCGGGTGCCACGGTGGTGGGTACGGACACGTCCGCGCAGCAAGAGCTGTCCAGTAGGTCCAACTGGTCCACAGTTGGATCCTCGCATGGTGGAGCGTTGGTGGCACGGGGCAGCAGCCGCAACAACAGACGCGTTGGCAGCGTGGCAAGCGGCAGCGGTGGAGACAGCGACGGCTTCCACGCGACGATGCGTACCACCCGCAGAAGGGAACCCTGGGCCTGTCAACCCCCGACAACGGCCGCAACGAGCCGAACCAGCGTCACCAGCACCACCGCCAGCGACGTGCGTAGGAGTGCGCTTGTGACTAGGGACAGCTCTTCGAAGTCGGCGTGCAAAGAGAGCCCGGGCGGCGGGTTTGAGGGACGCAGGGACGGGAACGTTCCCACAGCTAGAGCGACGAGGTATCCTTCGAGGTAGCAGGTGGCGGGAACGGGAGGGGTCACCGCAGCGGCGCGGTACTGCAGTCGGCGGCCAGCCTGGCTCGCATGTCCCGATTTATCAGCGGTGGAGCCGCCGCCGCCCCCCGTATGGTTTCTTCATCGGCGGCACGCTTGTCAGCGCCCACGATTGGCAACGGTGCCAAACGCTGCGAGATGGCGGTGCCCGACATCACTCGCCCGACGTCCCCCTCGGCGGCTTGGAAGATGGGTAGCGGCGGCAGCGTCGCCAAGGGCAGCGACAACGGAACCTAAGACACCCCGTCGGCATTGACCGCGGGAGCTTCGACCCTCGTATTGGGTGCAATTCTCGACCGCGTCCGCACCATCGATTGTGTTGGCGCCAGGGGGGCCCAAGATACCCCATCGACAACGACCGCGGGAGCTTCGACCCTCTTATCGGGTGCACCTCTCGACCGCACCCGCACGGCTGGCTGTGTCGGCGACAGCGGAATCCAACACACCCCATCGACATCGACCGCGAGAGTTTCGAACCTCTTATCGGGTGCACCTCTCGATCGCGCCCGCACCACCGGCTGTGTTGCGGTTGTAGCCAATGGCCCGAAGGACGACACGATTGTCGGCGAGAGGGGGGGCGGCAGCGATACCGATCGATTCGGCGTCACCAGTGTAGGAACGCCGTTGCCCACCACCCTGGTGATCGCGGAAGGCAGCGATGGCACTTGCAAGGGGCTGGCCCTCGCGGATCGCAGCCTCGTCTTCGGCACGTTGTCGGAGGTGGGCATCTTGAAATGTTTCGGTAGTGACTTCACGGTGTCGTGTCAAGAGTCTCACGAAAACTCAATCAGTTGTAGTTAGCAGCCCGAGAGTCCCGTCGACAAGCCATCGAGAAGGGACAGCGAGACTTCGCACAAACACGTCGGAAACTAAAACACAACTAAAGCCTTCAAAGTTCAAGTTGGCGTCCTACCCCGTGCAGCACTCCACTGCCCTTAAAATCGCCGTCATCTCACGCGCGTGCCTCTGTTGTTGGTGTCGTTCATGTGCAGAGCGACGGGGAATGGGCGGAGGAAGAGACGAAAGAGGAAGGACACCTCCGAGAGGAGAAGTACAACGAACCCCAGGCGGACCCTACCAACACGCGGTACGTGGTAAAGCAACGGAGTCCGACAGGTGTTTTAGTTTTCACCTGGTCCGCGGTCTCATTATGATGTCGGTGTGCGATGTAGTAAAACCTCAGATATTTGTGTTCCCGCCGCGGTGTATGCCGTTTGGCACTGTGTGGCGTCGAGTCTCGAGCAACGAGGCAGGAAACCTATGAGTACAACCGGAAGCATGCATACAAATCGTGCGTTATGAAGGCCGATTGCCGAGCCCAGAGCTACGCCAAATACAGAGAACCACCACAAGCCATCAGAAGCACCTTTTTTCTCACGGACAAGCATAGGGACAGGTGGTTGTTGTTTGTCTTCTCGCGGATGCCGTTTGTGTTGGGTCTTTGCTAGCCGTGGGACAAACCAGGTGTACCCTTCACAACCGATGACAAGATGAATACCTCGAACACGCCTCTACACTCACTTGTTCCATCAGGGGAACCAAAACGTTTTTCTTTAGATGAGGGTCACGAGGTGTTCCGCTCTTTACAGACTGACTCGCCCACGTGTGGGGGATGCACGCATGGTGAAGTGTGAATCATCGCATCCCCCCCAGAGCGACTGTCACAGCTAGATGCGTCCGCAACCACGGGGCTGCTAACGCCGAACAGGGTGGCGTTGGAAGCACATCTTGTCAAGCATCTCGTCAAGGAGATTTCCTTGCACGTATCGGTCGGTGTTTCGTACCCACTTGTTTGCTGAGCAATCGAGCTTTGAACGTGAGCCCAGCGGTGGTGGGACCACTTGCCCACAGACGGAAATCAGATAATTGGTGTGAGAAGGACGAAACTGGGAGTCTCTTGTACCGGCCCGTGGTGATGCTTGGAGCCAAGAATGCGTTTCGGTTCCACCGAGTCTTGCCCCGCACTCACTTTGTCTTGCCTACCGTTTCAGCTAGGTGTGTATCGGAACGTCTTCTGGGTATCTTGGTCCGGACCGTGTACCGTTCAGTGCTCAAAATCGTTTAGCTTGTCGCGGCAGGAATTCTGCTTACCGCTCCTGTAACACTGCGATGCATTCGCCAACACGCGTGCTCTCTGTCCACATTCCGCCTCTTTTCTGCGCGTTGGGGTGATGCTCATTCTCCTCAGATCCCAAGCAATGGTGTCTGGAAAAGGCACGGCACCATCTAACCCAGGAGAAGTGACCTCCAACGCTGCAACCGAGGCCAGCCCGTCGACCCCACCATCCCCTTCCGTGAGCCCCGTCCCGACAGCGAACGGTTCTGTGGTGGGCTCCCCTAATATGCGAGCGACCGCGCAGTCGGAGTCTTCCACGTCATCTGCACCCCCCCAATCAGAGCAGGCACCGGTTCTGGTCGACACGGCGGAGAACATGGGCGCAACGGACGTCCAACAAAAGAAACCGGTGAGGTTGCCTCAAGCATCCCGGCCTTCTCCGGCGTTCCCGTCTCCTCCTTTGGGACAGGTGGAGGCCTTGGTCGCGATGGCAGGCCGCAAGGACGGAGTCGGCTTGCAAGAGACGGACATGCCGGGGGCGACTCGATACCCCTCGCTGTGTTCACCGTCCTCATCGCAACTATCAAACCGGGTAGTGGCAAGGGGGATGATATGGAAGAACGACGCGACCGGCGTGCGAGACAGGGAAGAGCCGGCCGAACCATTACGATCACCTTCGACGCCCCCGCTTGCATCGTCGTCCCCGTCTTCCTTGTCCTCTCCGTCGGGCCAAGCGATCTCTCTACCCGAGGCCGCCATCGGGGGAGTTGCCATGGGGGTGGTACAGAAGAACGACACGACCGGCGTGCAAGACACGGAGGAGCCGGCGGGGCCTTTTCGTTCACCCCCGACGCCCCCGCTTGCATCGTCATCCCCGTCTTCCCTGTCCTCTCCGTCGGGCCAAGCGATCTCTATACCCGAGGCCGCCATCGGGGGAGTTGCTATGGGGGTGGTACGGAAGAACGACGCGACCGGCGTGCAAGACAGGGAAGAGTCGGCCGGGCCTTTACGATCACCCTCGACGCCCCCGCTTGCATCGTCATCCCCGTCTTCCCTGTCTTCTCCGTCGGGCCAATCGAGCTCTCTGTCCGAGGTCGCCGCCTGGGGGGAGACCGCAGTCTCCGAGGAAGAGGTGCACCTGCTGGACATAGAGCTGGCGGTGCGGCGGAAGGACGGGGCTCTGCAAGAGGCGCAATGCCAGATCGAGCTGCTGCTGCGAGAGAAGGGCGCGGCCTCGGACGAGGCGGCACGGGACACGACGTCTCAGCTGCGGGAGAAGGACGAGGCTCTCAAGATTGCGGAGGAGACGTTGGGGCGGGCGGACGAACGGCAAAGGGAACTGAGCACGCAGTTGGCCAAGAGCTTGCACGGGGTGAGCCTCAGGGAAACGGAGCTGGAGACCGCCCTGCGGCAAAGGGGGCAGGAGGACAAACGGGGCAACGACGAGAACAAGAAAATCCGGGCCGCGATGCGGCAGGTTGAGGAGGAGTCAGCCTTGGCTCACACGAGGTTCGAGTCTCTGCGCGAGCATGCGACGCGGGAAGTGTCAGCCGCGCAGCAAAAGGCGACAGAGAAAGTCCGGCGAGCCCAATTGAGGTACGAGTCTCTGTGCGAACGCACGCTGAGGGAGTCGGCGGCCGCGGAAGCAAGGGCGAACCGGGAAGCCGAGGCTGTCCAAGAGAAGGCGCGGGAAAAGGCACGAGGCGCCGATGACAGATACGACGCTCTGCACGTGCACACCGCCGACAAGCTCGCTGAACGCGAACAGGCGGAGCGACAACTTTCGCAATCGAACAAGAAGATGGAGAGAGAAGTCCTCAGGCTTACCAAAGAGGTGGGTCAAAGTTTTTTTGCGTGGTCGACTTTCGCAGGACAACAACAGGTGTTGTTCCACTTGCGTTAGGCATTAGGTGCTCTCTGAGATGTTCTCGTGTTGGCGTTCTGTGACGTTGTAACATCGTCGTGGGTGCTGGTCGCCTATCTCTTTCAGCCCCTGCTAAGACAAACCCAGATCACAACACCGTTAGTTAAGTGCCTTCATACTTTCCTCTCACTCGAATACTCGAATACACGAAAAATAATGCAGCTAGGATCATGTTCGTAGACTAGGAAAGTTGGTCATGCTCGCGAAGCAAAGCGAGCTGAAGGCAGAAACGGTCGAAGAGACAGAGAACCTGCGACGAAAGCTTGCCGCCGCTGAGTTCGAAAGCGCGGCAGATCTCGCCGAGACACGTCTGACGGCGGACAGCAAGGAACAAAGTCTCCAATAGGAGCTGCTCCGGTCTTGCCAACAGACGGCCGAAGTGAAACAAATTGCAGAGGATGCCGTAGAGAGTGTAAAGCAGGGAGAGCTGAAGTATGCCGAATGCCGAGCGGCAGCGGACACCCGATTTGCGGCTGCGGAGGCACGTGTGACAGACCTCAACGAGAGGCTCGCCGATATGATGCAGCAGGCAACAACGACGGCAGGAGCAGCTAGCGAGCACGCCCTAATGCTGCAGGAACGAGTTGAGGCGCTCGGCGAGGACCTCGAGGAGATGGCTGACCACGCTGCCGCTGCGGACGACCGATCTGCGGCTGCGGAGGCGCGAGTGACGGACCTCAACGAGGGAATCGCCGTTCTGCAGCGGCAGGCAACAGTGGCAGCAGGAGACGCAAGTGAGCACGCCGCGATGCTCCAGGAGCGAATTGGGTTACTCGGCGAGGACCTTGCAGGGATGACTGACCGTGCTGCCGCTGCGGACGTCCGGTCTACGGTTGCGGAGGCTCGAGTGACGGATCTCAACGAGGGAATCGCCGTTCTACGGCTGCAGGCAACAGTGGCAGAAAGAGAAGCAAGCGAGCACGCCTCAATGCTTCAGGACCGAATTAAGTCCCTCGGCCAGGACCTTGAGAGGATGCCTGACCGCGCTTCCGCTGCGGAAGCTCGATCTACGACTGCGGAGGAACGTGTGGCGGACCTCAACGAGAGGCTCCACGCTCCGCAGCGGAGGGCGACAGCAGTGACGGCGGCAGGAGAAGCAAGTGAGCACGCTTCGATGCTTCAGGAAGGAGCCGAGGCACTCAGCCAAGACCTTAGGGGGATGACTGACGCCACTGTCGCCGAATCGAGAGCCGCGTTGCTTGCTACGAGCGCAGGCTTCTCCGCGGCGGGAGCTGGGACAACGAACGAGTACAACAACGACGACGAGCTCATCAACAGGGCCCTCGAGAGAGTGGCGAGCGTAGATGTCTCTATCGCGAGGTACACGGAGGCGAGCGCAGAACTCCTGAGCGCCGCTGACCGGGCTCCCGAGGTAATAACGCACGAGACACCCCGTTCTCGAGCCCGATCGCAAGGGATCGAGGTCGCGGCGGTCGGGCGAGTAGCGGGAGCGGAAGTGAGGGCAGTAGAGCTAGGACTCGGCAACGCCCGCCTCCGTGCGCTCGCCGTGGCGGGCAACGAGGAGAGCAAGGAAGAGGAGGTGGACGAGGAGGTCCGAGCTCGGCGATTCCACCTGTCTGCCGAGAATTCGCACTCCGAGCGCGAGGTCGCCTACGGAAACGCTTCGCCGCACGAGCGGGCCCGCTGGGAGGCCGACGCGCGGCTTGAGGGTACCGTCGAGGGCGAGGCGGAGAAGGAGAGCGCCAACGGCTGCCACTGGCGGGCCGCGATGGCAGACCTGGCGAGATCGACGTGAGGATGGAAAGGCTGCAGGCCATCATCGAGGCAGGGGGAGAGTGGCTGCGGCTGCAACACTTGAACGACGAGGAGGGATAGGGCTACGAGTCGGCGGCGAGCAGCAGCGCGTCGGAGGCGCTGGCGCTAAGGCTGTCCAGGTTGGAAGAGTGGAGGGACGGCGTAGAGGAGTGGATGAAGGCCGCCAACGAGCAGTGTCGCGCGGAAACCGACGCGCTGCTACGGTTCTCGGACGAGGCGAGGACGACCGCAGGGGTCTTCGTCGGCCAGCGGAGGCCCGGGGCCTCGGCCGAAGAGAGGGCCTCCCGGACGACACGGCAGGGCGGTGCGTCGAGCAACCGAGTCCAGGCCTAGAGGTGAGGACCAATAATTGGTTGTTGTGAAAGGTTCATTCATTCTCTCCTGTGAAAAAATGAATGTCCAAACCTTCCCGGCCTAGGGGGACTTCAATAGATATCGATGGTACGCTGTCTCTACTGAAAAGTCCCGGCGGGGTGATTGGTTGCCGCGGGGCGCCGGATTTCATTCTGTTTCTCGGAGGCGGAAAGCTGACGCCCGCCCTTTACCTCGGAAACACTTGCTTAACGAAGCTGGCAAGGGCCCTCTGTTGTCACGCGTGCAGCCTCACAGAATACAGATATTAAACGGCATCCATCTCAGCCCACCCGTCGACGACTTTCCCGACTGAGACTTCCAAGGCACTTCGTCAATGATTTGCTCTGGGTTGTTGACGATCCCCCCGTCCACCCATGGATATCGCGGCAGTTGCTATTCCCAAACGTCTGCCTGGACTGGAACTCAACCCAAAGCGACAGCCATTTCAGTGTGTCGGTCTTGATTGCTCGTTCTTAGCTGCTCTTACTGTGGGATTCATGCCCTCTCTACATCTCCAGACATTGAGGTAGTTTCACGCGAGCGGGAGGAACCATAGTTAGGATCAATGCAGGAGGAAGGTGTACGTTTCCTGAGCACACGAGACCTACATTGTCGGGATTCTCTACACGCTTCACCGTGAACACAATGTATCTTTTCTCCTCGAGGAAAGAAGTAATTGTGGATTCTAGTCAGAGAACGACGTGCATACCACATGCAAGCACAATAACAATCCGATGTACATTTTTTCAGGCTACGCTCAGCGCCGCCATCCGACAGCAATACACCCACTTACACTCCTAAACCCTCCCTGACATGCTCCGTGACCGACTTCGAACCAAACACAACCGCAGGGGTGGAGGTAACAGCGACGCCTGCTGCTGCCCTCTCCGACGGGGGGGCAAACACAAGGAGATAAGCCGATCTTGCTCCCAATTGGTGGCAACGACAACGGTGGATTGCTTCACCCCTTTCCATTCTCGGCACCCAGACGGGGGCATCAAGAATTCGCTTCTTGTCTCCATCAACGACCGGCAGAAACAGACCTGTGTGTCGAGAGTAGGAATAACTACGGCGTCTTTTTGTCTCTCCCTGTTCTGTCCACTTCTTCTTCGTGAAGCGGGCTGAACCAAATAGCAGTAGGTCACGGGTTGTGAGGGCGTATCGATGCCTGAGTGAGAGTACTGTTTTTATACGGAGGAAGATGGATGTTTCCCCCTTGCCCCAGGAGTATACGTGCTACAGTACGGTGGAAGTGGGGGGCGTGTGTGTACAACCACGGTATGTTTCTCCACTTCTTCGTGAGCCGGGTCGAACCAAATTGAACCAGGTCACGGGATGTTAGGGCGTATCGATGCCCGAGTGGGAGTACAGTCTTGTTTACGGAGAGAGATGGATGTTTACCACTCGTGGCAGGAGGATGTGTGTGCTACAGTGGAGTCGACGGCGGGAGGGGCGGGCGCGGGCGCGTGTTTACAAGTTCGTTCATGTTTTACCCCCACTTCTTCGTGAGCCGGGCTGAACCAAATAAGAGCAGCTCGCGGGATGTGAGGGAACCAATGCCCGAGTGGAGGAACAGCTTAATTTGCGGAGGTGATGGATGTTTTACCATATTCCAGGAGAATGTGTGGTACAACAGCGTGAAGGCGGGGGTGTTTGTACAAAATCGTCGTGTTTTTTCTCTATTCTTCGTGAGTCGGGCTGAACCAAAGAACGGCAGGTCGCGGGATGTGAGGGAGTACCGATGCCCAAGTGCAAGCACGGTTTTGCTTACGGAGGAGAACGATGTTTTACCACTCGCTCCAGGAGGACATGTTTAAAGTAGCGTGGAGGGCGGGGGGTGGTGGGAGGCGTGTTGTGCACAACTTGGGGCATGTTTTATCCCCACTTCTTCGTGAGCCGGGCTGAACCAAACAACAGAAGGTCGCGGGATGTGAGGGCGTACCGATGGCCGAGTTGGAGCACATTTTTGTTTACGAAGGAGAAGGACGTTTTCCACTCGTTCCAACCAGGGGTGTATGAAAACGTAGCGTGGGGAGTGCATGTATGTATAACTTGGGGCATGTTTTCTTCCCACCGCTTCGTGAGCCGGGCTGAACCAAATAACAGCAGGTTGCGGGACGAGAGAGTACCGATGCCCGAGTGGGAATGCAGTTTTGTTTGTGGAGGAGAAGGGCATTTTCCACTCGTTCCAACCGGGGTGTATGAAGACGTAGAGTGAGGGGCGCATGTATGTGCAACATCGCCATGTTTTATCGCCATTTCTTCGCGAGCCGGGCTGAACCAAAGTACAGCAGGTCGCGGCATGTGAGGGGGTATCGATGGCCGAGTGAGAGTACATTTATGTTTGCGGAGAAGGACGTCATTCCATTCGTTCCAGGAGGATGTATGTGCTACAGTGGCGTGGAGGGCGGGAGGGCGGGGGGGGATGCTTGTGTATACCTTCGTTATGTTTTATCCCCACTTCGTGAGCCAGGTTGATTCAAATAGCAGCAGGTCGCCGGATTCGAGAGGACCAATGCGCGAGTGGGAGCACGGACGAGATGGATGTTTGCCACTCGTTCCAGGGAGATGTATGGTATAGTACACGTCGGATGATGGCGCGTGCTTGTAAAAATTCGGCATGTTTTTGTCTCAATTTCTTCGTGAGCCGGGCTGAAATAAACAAAAGCAACCACGGGGTGTGAGGCAGTACCGAATTCCGAGTGGGAACGCAGTTTTGTTTATGAAGGAGAGCGACATTGTCCACTCGCTTCAGGAGGATGTGTACAAAGTAGCCAGGGGGGCGGGCGTATGTGTACAACTTGGTCATGGTTCATCCCCACTTTTTCGTGAGCCGGACTGAACCAAGTAACAGCAGGTCGCGGGATGTGAGGGAGTACCGATGCCCGAGTTGGCGCACATTCTTTGTTTTACGAAGAAAGGACGTTTTCCACTCGCTCCAGGAGGATGTGCACAAAGTAGCGAGGGGGGCGGGCGTGTGTGTACAACTTCGTCATGTTTTGTCATCACATCTTCATGAGTCGGGCTGAACCAAACAACAGCAGATCGCGGATAGTGAGGGCACTACAGGTCGAGTGGGGGTAAAATTTTGTTGACGGAAGGAGATGATGTTTTGCACTCGTAGAGGATGTGTGTGCTACAGTGGGGTGGAGGGCGGAGGGGCCGGGGGGCGTGTGTGTACAACATCGTCATGTTTTATCCCCACCTCGTCGTGAGCCGGGCTGAGCCAGATAACAGCAGGTCGCGGGATGTGAGGAGGTACCGATGGCCGCGTGGGAGTACAGTTTTGTTTTCGGAGGAGCTGGGTGTTTTGCACTCGTTCCAGGGGGATTCGTACAAAGTAGGGAGAGGGCAGGGGGAGGGGAGGCGTGTTGTGTGCAACTTGGGGCATGTTTTATCCCCACTTTTTCGTGAGCCGGGCTGAACCAGAAAACAGCAGGTCGCGCGATGTGAGGGGATAGCGATGGCCGAGTGGGAGTACAATTTGTTTTACGGAGGAGATGGATATGTGCCACTCGTTCCAACCGAGGCGTATGAAGTAAGTAGCGTTGGGGGGGGGTTGCACTACCACGGCATGTTTTTTCTTCAAGTTCTTTGCATGTAGGGCGGACTCATACCACACCGGACCGCTGAAGGGGGCATCGCGCGTGATTGGGTGTAGCATGGGTATGAACAGGCTGCCTGGTGGTCGTTGCAAGGTGTGTGCTTGGCGTAGCACTCGGAGGGTCGATCGAACATGCATACGTGCATCCGCGACAGCGTTCGTCTGGTTCTGTTTTCCCTGTTCTTCGTTAGCTTTCTGTAAACAGAAGCGGCCAGCAGCGATGTTAGATGACGGAGTGGGATATTTCGTGCCAGACACGCCATGGATGATGGCATGCCGCCAGGTTGTTTTGGGGTTTCTCTCTGCGACGGCCGAGGGTGGTAGCGGTGCCACGATGTCAGAAGATGGCGATGTGTAGGGTGCATCACTACTTTCTCGCCATACTTGGTGGAGCTGGTGAGGTAGACAATTTCATTGTGGTATTTTGCGGAGCGGCAGAGTGAGTTCCTTCTTCTTGACGGTGGTCGGATGTCTAACGAGAGCATAGGGATCCGGTAGACGCCGTTGTTTATTTTGAGGAGCGGTCTAACGAGAGCGCGGGGTGTCGGTTGACGTTAGGGTTTCCCTGCCAGACCAAAGCTTTCAAGTAGGCCCGTCGTTTGTCGTAAGTCAACGCTTGTAGGTATGTTTATCGTTATCGGTGTCGTCGCATTTGCTCGCAAGCTGGCTGATGGGTGTTGCCGTTGAGGTCGTGTTTGCAGGTATTTTCCTTGCTCGGGGTGCCATTTCGCTGGGGTGAAGGAGAGAGGCAAGACGTCGTTGCTGGGACAGAGGCAGCGTTTTCCCCGCACGGCCGTTGGACGATCTCGGGCCGACGTTCGGGTTGAGGGTTTGTGAGGAAGGGGGGGCAACGGGCTCGTTCAGCCGTGAGCAGCTTGGCGGCCATCGACGCATCCGGTGATGCAGCAGCACCTCCTCCATGTTCTAGAAAGCCCGACTCTCACCTGGGTTCCCGTCGCGCAGCTCGTGCGCATATTTGTTCAGTACAGTGCTGTTGGCGACCGGGGACTCCAACGAGAGGCTGGTAAATGTTGAACGGAAGACGCTTCTCGACCGCTGACGCCTGGGTTGCGTTGGAGTATGAGCCTCGAGCAAGCAGGACGCATCCCGTGGGGGTGGCTTCATCCGCCGCGGGGTACGTACGCAAGCCTGACCGGTTCGAGCGGCGAGTATTGCCGGCTGCACCGGTCGTACTGTTGGACTGCGCTAGGTCGACCTGCAGAGGATGTCGCGGCTGGTAGACTTGAACCGAACAGGATATCGCGGTTGATAGATTTTCAGCTGAAGAACCGTAAAACCTCTTGTGCTGATTTCGGCGGTCTCTTCCCAAGACCCAATTGCAGCGGGGTGCTGATTTGCGATAAGGGACTCGACGAGATTTGGGTGATAATTCGAAAGGGGGCCGCTCCATTCTGGCGGCGTGGCTTGTTCCACGTGCCCTTCGCGTTAGGATAGGACGGCATCACGACGACCGTCTTCGTTTTCGCTTTGCAATTTGTACCCTGTGTTGACGGCTCTCTCAGAATGCTTTCAACGGGGTGGGTCTTGAAGCTGGGGTAGAGGGAGGGGCAGATGCAGGCGAGCTGTGAGACGAATAGGTTGGTTTTTGCTTCTGCTCTAACGCACGGTCTTTCCAACGTCGACGTATGGCGCCTGAAAAGCTGCCGCCATTCTAAGCTTTTGCGCGTGTAGGCTAGAACCTGACGAGCGGGTTTACCTACTCCCCGAAATACCTTCGAGTCGAGAAGGTGGAATGCGCAGATATCTCACGTATTAGCATCCTGACATTTCGATCGACACGTGGAAGAAAGCCACGGCGATTGCTTGGATGTTTAGACTGCTTGTAGGAGGGCAGGGGCGCAGAGAAGGGTTGTCTGCCGGTGACACCACAAGCGTATCTGTTTTCTGTTTGTGAGGGTTCAGGGAGCAGAAAAAGGTGGAGGTCCAAGAGATGTGTGCAATACTTGGTTTTTCTTGGAATGCGTGCGTGCCACGCATTTATTCGGACACGATTGTTGTCGATCTTGTCCTTCATTGGGCAGGCATGTTGCTTCTACTGACGGTGGGGCAGCTCGTTTGAAAAAGAAAACACGCCAGCCGCATGCTTCCCGCCCGTGGTCATGGACAACATGCATTGTCCCTGTCCTTCTTTTCTCTGTACTTTCCTCACCACGTGAAGTCTCCTCAGGACCATGTTACTTGTACAGATGGCGCCCGCACTTCAGAACCGCTTATATTGGCCAAAGCTCTATGCTTATTGGCTGCCTCAAAATGAGCACCTGTTCTTGTTTTCAAAGTGCTTATTTCGAGCAGGCATATCCGTATGATACCCGGGGTTCTTGTTTGTATTTTTACGCCGAGGGCCCCATCCAGAGGGCGCTTTTTATTTCTGGGTGAATTCAGCCTGACACTTGAGAGCAGCGTGTACATACGCGTAAAACAGCGTACGATAATAGAACCTCGCTCAACGGCGACCTCTGGAATCGAGTTTAACAGACGCGGTATCGCCTGAATTAATGTCGCTTCTGCGCAAACACGTTGAACCATTTAGAGTACACAAGGGTCACGTTCGGCGTGATTGTCCTCCCCGCTCTATCTACTAACGCCCGTCGTAGCTACATTGCGACCTTCAACCTACTCTTCGAATGCTGGACCTCATCCATCCCTGCTCTACGGCGCGCTCCCCTCAAGCAAAAACCACGACCCTACCACCGCACCCGCATCTCCACTGTGCTTGTCCAACGGCATCATGCGGCGCGTACTTTGGTCTACTGTACATGTAGCTCGAAATGCACACCATAGTCGCAAACAGCAGTGGGATACGCTCTTGAGTGATCAGCTCACCAAATCAGCCCATGCTCAGTTCTACGAGTACTCCACATACATCTACAGGACCGAACTGTCAAGAAGAGCAGTGGGTTTACACACTTGAATTCGAAAATCCGTGGGTGCGACGAAGGAAGAGGTGTCGGAAAGCTTTTGTCGCCCCCGCGTCGACTCGATGGCCTCCCAGTCTGACTTCGTGGGCAGTTGCCAGCAATGAATGGTATGTTCTTTGATGGCCTCCAAGTGTAGATCAAGAATTACACCTCCTTTGAACTTTTGACAGATGGCCGAGCTCTTTCAATATTTCAAGGGGTATAGACATGGCTCTCGTGCTTGGCACGCAGCGTGGCAGGCACCCCAATGACACGCGACGAGGGGTATGCCTCGTACAACAAAGCTAGAAGCACCTAGCCCCCGCCACCCCTGCACCGACCGGGTAAAACGTGGAAGCGGCTCCGAGTGCGAACACCGGGTTCATGTGGTGCGGAATGTCTGTTGAACAACGAGATTTTACGTTCCTGAGCCTCGAAGATACAGGGAGATGTTCTAGGGTTTCCCCCCGGGATTTCCTGCAAGGCCGTAGATTATCCGGTTCGGTTTATCCTGTAGCGAATTCCCTGTAAGCTAAGTTGCTTTAGAGAAGATCCTGTCCAGAGTCGGGCCGCATCGTAGTCTATTGGTTCGAGGCTCTCCTCCCATACATATTGGTCCCAAAAAACATATTAAATTATTTCGCGCGAAGCGCGAAAAAAAGTATTGGGGGCGAAAAGCACACGCTGTGCGCGCACCACCACACCTTTGCTTGACATTTGCTCTTCGAGGGGAAGTTTGAATGCTGCATGGTTTTTCGCTTTGTGTGCATAGTCTAGACTATGAGATTTTTGGCAAGTTTTTCAAACTTGTGCATATAAAAAACGTGCAAATATCACGGCCAAAGTAGATCGATAACGCACGAGGAAACAAAAAAGGAAATCACTGTTTTTTTTTTGTTTGTTTTTCTCCCATCATTGGACTCTGTCGTCTGCCCCTCTGGCCCCTATCCTCCACTTCTACCAGCTAGATGACCCAACCGGGGTCACATAGGAGGGGGGGGCTGGACCCCCTCCTGCGGTTCCTGCCTGAGGTATTTTTATCTGTTGTTGTTGTTGTTGTTGTTGTTTCTCACATTAGCTCTAAAGAAAAAGATTGGGAGCCCGTGGTCTCAAAACCCGGCATACACGACCCCACGAAGAAACAGAAAAAAATAGGGTACAAAAACCACTCGGAAGAGAAACAAAATGATAGAAAGAAAGACCAGCTACCGCACCAAACGAGAAAGAGCGTCGAGGAGACCGATCAAAATAAAATAAAAGGAGAACGGGGAACGCTTCCCACACCCGCCTACAACGCCGGAGGGTTCCGTGCCGGGTTCCCGCCGACCAGGCATCCCCCGCCCTGCACCACACCCCAGGGGGTGCAGCAAGACGGGGGGCGAAAAACAAACACATAAATATTCCCACAAAAAAAAAAAAAAATCGAAGGACAACGTACACCAGTACCAGGTACTACAGCAGTGCAGTATGCACCAGCGCATTAGTGTAGGGTAGGCACCGCACCAAAGAGGCAGCAGAGGTGGCAGGCAGCCAGCAAAGGAAAAAACAAAAATAACAAGGAGCTCGAGGTATCGTCCAAGATCATCGTAGAGAGGGCATGGAGAACAAGAAAGAAAGAAAGAAGAAAAGCACAAAGAGAGGCCGGAGGCAATACTAAGAGCATACAGCTTACGGCAGGGAAAAGGGAACACAGGGTGCGACAACATCATCAGTTGGGTACGTCGTTCGCCGCAAGCGCGGCCTTGGCCGCCCTACTCGCTTCTACAGCAGTGTCCGGTCGCCGTTTCTTCCCCCCCCCCGCCGCTTCCCCGATTCTCTTTCTCTTCGGGCCCGGGGCGGCCGTGCTCTCCGTCTCTGCTTCCTCCGCGCGCTGGCGCTGGCGCTTCGCGGATGCTTCCGCCTCCTGTCTGTGCCATTTCCTCATGAACCATGCCGCCCCGTCCTCGATCTTGTCGTACCACGCCTCCTGGTCCTTGGCGCTCTCTTTCCATCTCCCCCCCTCCTTCTCCTCTTTCATGCCAAACGCCACGAGGTCCTCTCCTAGGCGATACACCCAGTCGCTCTCCTGCCCGCCCCGGTATCCGGTACCCCCCGCCATCGCTCCCAGCAGCATGCGCTTGGGGAGGCGGTTGTCCTCCATGCGCATAACGAAGCCCGCAAAACACAGCCTCCGTTTGCGCACGGTGGCCTCGATGGTTTCCTCGCAGCCGGCCTGGATGAGGGCCTGGGCGTAGGACAGGGGTCGGTCTGAGCGCTTCCGCTTGCTCCAGCCGATACACCGTGTCAGGAACTGGCGGTGGGTCCCATTCAGCTTGGTGTAGTGCTCCGCTGCCAGGCTCCACGAGGCGCACCCGTATAGGAGGGTCTGCACCACTTCAGCCTGGAGTAGTCGGATCTTGAGCTGGCGGTTGGCCCGTTTCCTGTCGTACATCGAAGTGCTGTTCCGGCGGTAGCACTTCCATGCTCGGCAGATGCGGCTCGTGATCTCCCGGTCGACCTTCCCATCCGCGCAGATGGTACGTCCGAGGTACACAAACCGATCTGTCTGCTTGTACGTCTGGCCAGCGGCGCTGACCGCGAACGGGCGTTCCCCCAGCCCTTTCGGTAGCATGCACATGATCTCCGTCTTTGGCTCCGATACCATCAGTCCGAACAGGCCGGCCACGCGCACGATGATGGACATCATCTTTTCGAGGCTCTCCGGCGTGAGCGAGACGATGGCCGCGTCGTCAGCGTAGAGCATGTCCCACAGGGCCTCTGCGACCGTCACCATCATCGCCTTCTTCCCCGCCGACCTGCCCCTCTTGCCCGTGCACTCCACTCGTGTTGCGATCTTGATCATATCCGCCGTCACCTTGGGGTCCTTGTCGAACTCGGTCACTGCGACCATGCGCATCGCGGCAGAGAACAAGTTGAACAGCAGCGGGGCCAGGTTGCACCCCTGTCGGAGACCTTGGCCGACGTCAAACCATTCCGAGTACTGCCCGTCGTCCGTTCGAACCCGCGCCCTCATGCCCTCGTGGAAGTGGCGAATGACCGCCAGCATCTTCGGGGGCACGCCAAAGCGTCCGAGCACGTCCCACAGCAGATCTCGGTCCACCGAATCGTACGCCTTGGTGAGATCGACGAAGCACGCGAAGACCGCAGTACTCTTCTTCCTCGCGAGCTCATGGAGCCGCTGGATCGCGAACAGCATGTCGAGCGTCGACCGGTGTGGGCGGAAACCGCTCTGCTCCTCCGGGAGGATGCCCTCTCGCTCGCAGTAGTGGCTTAGGCGTGTTGCAACGACCTTAAGCAGCACCTTGCCGGCGTGTGCAACGAGAGAGATGCCCCGGTAGTTGCCGCACTCCATCGTGTCCCCCTTCTTGAACAGAACCTTGATGGTGGCGTCCTTCCACTGCTGCGGTACGTTCCCCGTCTGCCACACGTCCACGACGATGGCGTGGAATTCGCGGAGGAAGCCTCGGTCTCCATCCAGGAACAGCTTGATCAGCTCAGCCGGTAGGTCGTCCGGCCCGACGGCCTTCCTGTTGGCCATTCCCCGCACCGCCTCCTCAACCTCGAATAGAGACGGGATGTCGTCGAGCGGAACGCACGTGGGCCACTGCTTGACTCTGTCGGTCGCATGCAGGTCGATGGTCGGCGACTTGGTGTTAAGGAGCTTGTGGAACCACCGCGCCCACCGCTGGCGGGTAAGCGTGGGGTCCCGAAGGACCTTACCGTCCTCGTCCTTGATGTTCTGGGAGGTAAGTGGCCTCTTACCTTCGACGTCGATCATCTTCAGGTGCCTGTAGAAACCCGCCTGGTCCCCCTCACGACTCTTCTTCTCGAGCTGCCTCACATAGCCCTCGAAGAACTTTTCCAGTGCTCTCCACCTCGCGCTGCTGCGTTTCTTCCGTGTCAAGGCCTGGTTCGACCCGGTGCGAACCCCGTTTCCGTAGAATAAAAAATAAATATCGGGCAATTTGCTGGAAACCCTATTTTGAGAGCGCGCGGCGGTTGTTGTTGTTTCTCACATTAGCTCTAAAAAAAAAAGATTGGGAGCCCGTGGTCTCAAAACCCGGCATATACACGACCCCACGAAGAAACAGAAAAAAATAGGGTACAAAAAGTGTGTGAGCGTGTGACCGGCGTGGTTGTGTTATTGTTGAGCAGCAGCTCGCTGTAGCAGGGCGCTTACAGCCATGGCGCGACAAGCCCAAGGGAGGATGGAAGCCGGGCGGTACGCGGAGTGCATAAAACTCACCAGGATCGTGCGCTAGTTGGTGAGGAAGTCCTATTTCTCGTGCTTGGGATGTACAGCCTGCTGCGGGCGTGCCAGACGTACAAGCGCGCCACTCAAGGCCTAGCGTGCCACACTCCACCACACTCCAGAATATATCTCCTCCGACACTTTCAACAACGAAGTCCACTCCTCCTTTGGTCTTGGCCTCCTGCAGATTTTCCTTTGTGGTGTGCTGTTTAACTGGGGTCGCTTCGTCCCTCTGCTACCTTCATCTTGACCCCTGACCAATACAAGCCTGTCTGTCCCCAAACACAAAGTTCCCGGTGCACATCTTCTGGTTAGAAGTGCGGCCTAGTCGCCCTAACCGCAAAAGCATACCGCTACCGGACAAACGGCCGCCTACCTGAAGTTCCTAGCCCATAGGGGAACCCCCTGTTTGAGGCATGGAATACCAGCTAGGAGAGAAGACGGTAGCTGCACTGTACCAAGGCATAGAACGAAGAGGCGGGAAGTGATATCGATAGGATAGGCCAGGGAAAACATTTTTGAGGCACCTTGTTGGTAAAGTAAAGCAGGAGGGAACGATTGGCCATCGGTCTTTGGTCGTGTGGGAACGATACTCTGTCCTCTCGAGGACACGTGGTCAATGGTCTAACCACTATGTTATGCAAAACATATGAGTACGCCCCCCTTTCCCCCCCTCCGCACCAGCACTAGGTATGGATGGGGGGGTAATGAGCCGCGTGGTGGTGCGACTCAATACCTGGCAGTGNAGAGGCGGGAAGTGATATCGATAGGATAGGCCAGGGAAAACATTTTTGAGGCACCTTGTTGGTAAAGTAAAGCAGGAGGGAACGATTGGCCATCGGTCTTTGGTCGTGTGGGAACGATACTCTGTCCTCTCGAGGACACGTGGTCAATGGTCTAACCACTATGTTATGCAAAACATATGAGTACGCCCCCCTTTCCCCCCCTCCGCACCAGCACTAGGTATGGATGGGGGGGTAATGAGCCGCGTGGTGGTGCGACTCAATACCTGGCAGTGGTCTTATCTGCGATGCTGATGGTGCACGAATCCCGACACACACGCCAGCGTGAATTGTGTGTGGTGTAGCTACGCGTGCACCACAGAGTGACAGCAGGCGCGGGACGGGAGCGACGATGATTGTTATGCATCTGCGGCCACCGGCGTTCAAGATTTTGCACTTTACACGCGGTTGTCTCTTTCCGTTTTGATGCACATGCACAAAGAAACATAATGTGAAGTCTTCCCGGTGTGCAGACGCAAACGCGTACGTCTGCGCATGTGGAAGAAGCACACACAGACATGCGGCGTCATGCCCCTGGCGGCGAGCGTATCACACATCACACCTTCGAGGAACACGACCAGCAGCGTAGACAAGTATGTAGTCTCCAATTGACTGAATTTTGTTCTCAAGTCATTGTATGCATAGCATACCAAAGCTTTTTTTGGTCTCTGCTGTCGTCGATGAACCCCTTCAAATATACATGTATACTTTAACATTTAAATCCATGGCATTCTTCTCGACATGATGACCGCTCGCCCTTGTGCTGATGCATGCACGCATGCACTCGGCTGCCGGTGTACTACAGCAGTACTACTGTACCCACTACTTCTGGACATCACTTAACATACGTTGTTGTTGTTGTTGTTGTTGTTTCTCACATTAGCTCTATAGTCCACAAAAATACCAGGGCATGGGAGTAACGGAGCAAACAGGGCAAAGAGGCGGCAGGTGGGCAGACAGCCAGACTTACAAAAACAAAGGCAACAGCAAAAGCGAGATCAAAGTACCCAACACAGCAGAGTAGGCAGGGAGGTCATGAAAAAAAGAACACAGAAAC